TCCTCCCCCACTAACCCTCCTCCTCCCCCACTAATCCTCCTCCTCCTCCTCCTCCTCCCACCAACAGAGACTGGGTATACGGCGAAATGTTCTGCAAGGTATCCCCTTTCCTCCAGACAACAGCCGTAGCAGTCAGCGTCCTCTCCATGCTGTCAATCTCCATCAACCGATACTTCGCCATACACGTCCCTCTTCGCGCCAAAATCCTCTTCTCCAGGGCTCGCGTCCACGTGATGCTTGCCTCCATCTGGACCCTCGGGCTCTCCGCTGCCAGCCCCCTCCTCTTCGTCAAAACCGTCACGACTTACGGGATACCTGGCGTGTACGTCGCTCGCGTCTGCCAAGAAATCTGGAGCAAAACCATTCTGAAACACGCGTACAACATGACGATATTCCTCCAGTTCTTTCTGTGCCCGCTATTGGTCATGAGCGTGCTCTATCTGAAGATCTCCGTGGCGCTGTGGTCGAATAACCGAGAGCTGTTCCACACGGCGCCAAAACAGCAAACGTTCATGTCTCCTCAGGTGGATCGTCTGCTGCTGCAGAGACGGAAGACAGTCCGCACGCTGGTGCTTCTGGTGGTTCTCTTCGCCTGCTCCTGGCTTCCCTACTACGTGGTGAACGCCTGGCTGGACTTGAACGCGGGGTCCAGCCATGCCGGAAGGGTGAACAGCTACGTGTACCCGCTGGCACAACTGGTGTCGTTGTCCAACTCCAGCGTCAACCCCATCCTCTACTGCTTCCTCAGCAACGGCTTCCGGAGGGCGCTGACCAACATGTGCTGTTGTCGCCGCAACATCCGGGCCCGACACAGCATGGCCATGACGGTGAGGTATCGGTGCAGTGACGACAGCGGCCTGGGCAGTGTGGACACCGTGCTGTCTTAGGGCAAGGGTCACAGGTCAAAGGTCAGGGGTCAGAGGCGTGGGCAGTGTGGACACCGTGTTGTCTTAATGCAAGGGTCACAGGTCAAGAGTCATCTGTCAAGGTCACCGGTTGAAGGTCACCCGCCAAAGATCAGTAGTCTAGTCAGAGTGTGGAGACGGGTCTGTCTTAGGTCAAAGATTTACGACCGAATGCCAGTTGTCAAAGTTCACAGGTCAGAGGTCGAAAAATGGACGATCTTGGCAGTGTGTGGACGGTGCTGTCATAGGCCAAAGATCTTACGTCGCTCGCAACTGCATAAGGTCATATGAGCGCAAAGGGATGTTTAGTTCCAGTAAGGTTTTACGGCACTCGCAACTGCATAAGGTCATATGAGCGCCAAGGGATGTTTAGTTTCAGTAAGTTTTTACGGCACTCGCAACTGCATAAGGTCATATGAGCGTCAAGGGATGTTTAGTTTCAGTAAGGTTTTACGGCACTCGTAACTGCATAAGGTCATATGAGCGCCAAGGGGTGTTTAGTTTCAGTAAGTTTTTACGGCACTCGCAACTGCATAAGGTCATATGAGCGTCAAGGGATGTTTAGTTTCAGTAAGGTTTTACGGCACTCGTAACTGCATAAGGTCATATGAGCGCCAAGGGGTGTTTAGTTTCAGTAAGGTTTTACGGCACTCGCAACTGCATTAGGTCATATGAGCGCCAAGGGGTGGATGTCAACAGAGAAGTC